AACAAACTGCTATTTGTATTTGTGATACATGTGTCAAATATGCTAATCAGATAAATCTGGTTTCAGTTAATGATTTAGTCCATGAGGTGTCAGAAATAATGACAGCTGTGTGTCATATTGACCAGAACAGGCTTATTGTGTTTGAGCAAAAATCCAAACACACAAGGTATAAAACTGTGAAAAGCTGCAGATCATCAGATCATTTAGAAGCTGTGGGCAGAACCCCCAATGACTTCATTTATGTTAATAAAATAATCAGATAACTAAATGTTTAGTCTGTCATTTCAATGCTACAGTCATTATCACATTGGTATTGTTCAGTCATACTAGTTAAATAAATAGCAAACTAAGTTAAATGGTAAACTAATAGTTTAATTACTCTAAATGTTGTTCCAGAGAAATTCAGCACAGATTTATTTCAAAATTGTGGTTTTTCTTTGTAAAAAAATATGAACAGCCTTCAGGGATTGATGTTGCCATTGTTTAACATACTGATACATAACACATGCTGAAAGGTCAGATTACAAAAATTAGCCTGTCAGGACTTTTTAGATGCTCCAGATATGTATAGATACTAGGTACTGTAGCAGCGGTGTGATGATAAACTGCAGCTCTTCTTCAGTTAGTTTTGATTTCTAGTTTAATGCATAATGCCATTGTTTTGTTTCTGTCTTCAGGTGGTGTGGTTATGAGCAGTCCCATGGCTGGCTCCACTGCCTCTGCTTCTAAAGAGCGCCCAGCTTCCAGGACCAGCTTCATCCCAGAGTTACAGAGCATGATGTGAGACGCTCACACACGAGGAGACTCACCCCAGTATAGCATCGGGCTGGTGCTGCTGAACAGACTGTTTGAAGCCATAGACACCTGTTTATCAAACGAAAGAGCCACAATCAATAAACGTTTTGGCTAATGATACTGATAAGAACCCCCCACATATGTTAAACAACAACCCTTCATTTGGACACACTCAAGGCATAGTAAAATAATAGTTTCATTACCAAATTATACACTCTAAAAAGAAAGTTACACAAATCTACATAAAGAGATCATTAGATTAAAAGAATGGGGAAAGTATTTAATTACTGACTTTGTTAAGGAATTCTCAGTGAAATAGAAGTAACTCCCAAATATGTCAAAGGAATATTACAGCAGCCACATCCAGTCTGGGCACATTAATGGCATCATCATTAGATGATGAGTTCACTCAACATTACAGTGACTGGTTTAGACTCCAAAGATTAAATGATACTAATACAACTGAAAAAATAACCAAACAAATGAAACAGCCTTCATTAAAACACTTAAGTAGCAGAAAAGTGATGAACATATAATCTGGCTAAAGGTAATGTGCATATTTTGTCTAAATCGTCTGTTAAATAGAGCTTCTTTTTTTTTGGCTGAATCAATCAGCAGAAAATTAGTTGGCAACTCTAATTGTCTTTAGCTGTTAATCCTTTTGGTCCTGTGTGATAGTAAACTGAATATCAGACAAAGAGAAGCAATGGGGACAGGTTCAGTTGTGCTCCAAGTTGAATGTCATGGTTTTGACCAAATAATTAATCGAGTCATTCATCACTAATAAAAGTACTTATTTACAGTCATACTTAGCAGAAGAGGAAAAACTAAAGATATTGTGGAGTTTAACAAAAGAATAAAATATATTTTCTTGAATCAGCTGACAAAACTTTCTCACAGGAATAAACATTTGAGTATCTGAGTAGAGTGAAAAAGTAGGAAAAGGACAGTTGTACAACTTTGCTTACTGTAATGAAAATATGAAGAAGACAAATCTCTATGTTCATATTTGCAAAGTGCACTGTTGCTATGATTTGACTACTTTTGTGCACAGGTTTTTCTGTCACAAATAAGATAATTTTTCTAAAGCAGCCACATGCACGCTGTGGCCTCTCATCAGTGTGTGTGTGTGTGTGTGTGTCTTTGTTTTGGGGTACTCACCTTTATTGTGTGTGGGCTGCAGAGACGTGGTGTTGGCGGTCAGAACGGCTAAAACCGAAGCCTGAAGCCAACCTGCCCACAACCCCAAACCAAAGCCATTCTTACCTGTGTGATTAATAGCTGCAGTCGGCCAATCACAGCACAGGGGAAAGGGAAGTGGGAGCGGCATGGCAACTGTCAGGTGTTTGTAAGTGAAGAGGGAATGAGAAGGAATGAGAAAGGTAAAGAGCTCCAGGATGTGGGTTTAGGTGAGTCTGGAAGTGGCTTCTCTCAATGCAAATTGAGGTTTGGCAAATTGTGGTCTGTGTGTGTGTGTGTGTGTGTGTGAGAGAGAGACACACGTGTAGATATACTCATAAAACTAGGCAAGCAAACATGCTAGTGGAATAGAGGAATGAAGCAGCAGAACATTGACCTATTCAAGTCAAGTATAAGTACTTTCCACCACTGGGCGCAGTACAATAGAGGAGGAAAATAACTGATGCGTTAGATTCATGTGAATCTCTGCTTTAATATGTCTCTGTGGATGTGTGTGTGTGTTCCAGGTTTGCACTGGGAGATGCTCGGAGGCCTTTGCACGAGACAGCAGCTCTGGTGGAAGACATCGTGCACACGCAACTCATTACGATGGTAGCACAAAGTACAATAGTACACAGACATAATGGTGGAAATAGTAGGAAGAAATAAGAGCCTAATCTCAGTAATGATGAATTCATGTTACAAATGTGTCAGATGATTTGTGGTCAACAACCATATCAGTTTCCCATATCAGTGTTTCCCATATCAGATGAAAATATGAAAGCACAACAACCATATCAGTTTCCCATATCAGAGTTTTCCATATCCGGTTATCAGTGATTTGAGAAGGTCAGAGGTGTTAAATGATGTGGCTCAGAACAACATTATCCTCTTATTTCTGAACCTTTTCAATGGCAGAAATAAGTACTACTAATAATACTTTGACTGATGTGGTTCATGTCTCAGCTGCATCAGGCCTGTGAGGGAGCGGCTCTTCGTGGCTCGAGGGTCATTTCACCTGAAGACATCCTGTTTCTGATGAGGAGGGACAAGGTGAACACATTAAACACGCTAAAATTAATGTCACAAAGGATTTAACTCTTTCACTGACTTGACAGAGTTTTTGGTTTGTAGCTTTGAAGTGAATGACTGACAAAAGATTTCCTTCACTTTTCTTTTTTCTTCACTTTCCTACTTTCTGTCTCCTGTCCAGAGGAAACTGGCCCGGTTAATAAAATATCTCCAGTTTAGAGATTATAAATCCAAAGTACTCAGAACTCTAGAGGATGAAGACACACAGCAAGAAACTGGTACGCACACAAATTCATGGCAGTTTTGAATATAAACACTGAACCGAGACTGTGGAAGTTTGGCTTTTATTTGTTATTGTGTTGAATTGTTTGTGTGATTGCAGACAGGTGGGGGGGTCCAGGTGGTGTTGCCGGCGGTAACCAGCGGAGGCAGCGATTGGCCCAGGATTTTCTGGTGTGGATGGATCAGACTGGCGAGCTCCTGTCTTTAGCTGAGCGACAGGAAGTCGACCCCGTGAAACAAGAGAGGATGGAGGTCAGAGCTCTCTGTTTTCTCTCAGATACACTTTTTAAGAAAGGAACATACTTTTCAAAATGAATGATAAAAGGGCAAGAAGCTTTGTATTTCTGTTGACAGTGTCAGATATTCAATGCCAGCCTCATTAAGAACAAAATACATAAAAGGCTTTTTTCAAAGTAAATTTTAAGAAGTGATTTAAGAGATGTTACCGCTTCTGTGGGTCCACTGCTGCCAACAGCTGCATTGACATGGAGCTGTAGACCCCAGTGAATTGTGGGATACTGTGCATCAAGTTTCTGTCAAGAGTTTTACTGATGTGGGGCACACTCACCTGCTACCTACTGCTGAGAGCCAGGCTGTGTCTAGCTGTTTGTCACTGTTGTAATGTACATCACACACAGCTGGCACGGGTCTGACTGTCACAATGATCTAACTGTGTGTGGTGTTTCTCTGTATCTGCAGCGATTAGAGCGTCAGACTCGGAATATGGACCAGGCTCAGTACTCGGAGTTCTGTGAAAGCCGACAGCTCAGCTTCGGTAAGATTTCAGTCACCTGACTTAGCCTGTCTCTCTCTAATAATCTTAATCCTACTTTAATTCAGTTTTCATATTCTATTTATTCTGTGTTCTACTTTTATTCTGTTTTAGTTTCTTAAATGTATGGGAATTCAATATTAGGTGAGAGAGAAACAGTATTGTCCTGCACATATAGTGAATTGATAATAAAAATGTTTTGATCTTGATTGATCTTGATCTTAATGTCATCAAACTGGTTAAATCACAGAGTTTGTGTTACTGATGTCTCCTTGGCTGCTATAGAGGACTGAGTCTTTATAACTACATCCACTATAACAGTGCAGTTGAATGCTTCCTATTTAGTTTCATGTTGAAAATACCGAACATTTTTAAAGCTGCTGTTTTGTTATCAGCTGATTTGTTGATTATTTATTAATTATTTATTTAAGTTCCAGAACCTGAATCATCTTCATATACAATAACTTCATGTAACTGATAGTCCACAACCCAAAGATAATCAGTTTCCAGTAGTAAGAGAAAAGGAGCACGACTCTTTACTCTTGATAAATCACTTCATCAGTCTTCTGTTCATAAATGAATTGATTAATCAACTAATAGATTTTGCACTAAACATATTGTGAGATACCACATTTCAAATGAAAGTTTACAGTATGTCAGGTAAATGTACTTTATGGGTCTTTACTTGACAAGATTCTTGAGTTCACTGAAGTCTCTAAAGTCCCATGACCTGGTGTTGGTAGACAGTAGAGTAGCATTTTAAAAATCGTATCGAAGTACACAGACGGGGTTTTCAAGGGTCCTAACAAAGCCTTAGATTTAACTTGATGAGCCCTGCAGAAAACCTGACAGAACTGGTTCAGATTTCTTGTGCAACTGTGATTTCAGCTAAGAAAGCATCCAAGTTTCGGGACTGGCTCGATTGCAGCAGTTTGGAGTTGAAACCAAACAGCATCGCCATGGAGATCATGTCGTACCTGGCCTATGAGACTGTTGCCCAGGTAACATTTTGAGTCATGATATCATGCCTGTAAGCAGGTGATGGTGTGATAGTTTGAGTCCTGCAGGTGGTGTGCAGGGGGATAGCACGAGGCCTCTGCATACTGGATGTCAGGCAGCAATATTTCCTTCCTCAGATCTTAATGTGGATTTCAAAACATTAAAAATATGTCAAGAGAATTTAAAATAAGACTTGTACAAGACTCCAGACAATGATGTTGGATGCCAGGCACATGGGAAGGGAGGAGGTTGTGTGCTTGTCCGTCAGTCTGTCC